ATCTTTCTCGCTCAGCGTATTATCTGTGAGTGCGTGTGTGTACGCGTGCGTGCTATGTGTTTGTCTGTGTTTACGTACATGGGTATGTTGTGTGTGTGTTTATGTGTGTGTCTTGCTCTGTGTGTGTGCGAGTGTGTGTTTATGTATGTGTATGTAGGCTATGTTTGTCTGTATGTATCTATCTAGATATTTATTCTTTTTGGGAGTGCCTAGAGCCACTTGGGAGTAAGCGCTATAGAAACGTTCTTTATCGTTATTATATTATTATTTATTATTTGTATAGCGCACTTGCCGGAATATCCCGTTTGTCATGAACTTTACAAACATATATAAAGACTGCCACCCGGATTGAGGGAGGGGACAATAATGAACAGGAACCAAAAAATTACAATAATTATAAGGAATTGACATTCTTTACAGCACGAAGGCAAATCGATAAAAGAGGATGTCTTGTCATATTTTTGTGGTTTTCGTGATTTCTACAGTGAGGGAACAATGAGGAACTTTATGAGTACGGTACTGAAATAGACCAACCACTGAGAGTCGCTCCTTTCTGGAAATACACAAAAACTGCATCAAATCGAACTATGACAGCCGGAAATTGATTTGGCTTTTTCATACGAAAGGCAGGGGGGAAAGCTCCGCGAAATTGCAAAAGTGTCTCTTATTTTTATTTTTTTTACCCTTTTAATTGTTTATGAAGATTTATGAACGTTTTTTGCCTTTAAACACAGCTGAATCAGTGTGGGTATTCCAGGATATTTCGGTACATTTATTTTGATTGTTGCAATTTTTTTACGTTCATTGTATTGTTTTTCGATCGGTTGGTAGGTTACGTGGATGATCGATTGTTTGGTTGTTTATGTTTCAGTTCTTTTATTGCTCTTATTTCGATTCTCTGTCAATATTCCGTCTGTTGTGATGTTATTTGTCTTCTCTTCGTTGGCTCTAATCTTAATGTCTTCTTCAATTACTTGGGTGCATGTTTGTTTTTGTTGTTTTGTTGATTTTTGGGGGTATTTGTTTTTATTTATTGTTTGTGTGTGTGTGTGTGTGTGTGTGTGTGTGTGTGTGTGTGTTTTGTTTGTTTTTTCTTGTTGCTTTTATTTGCTTTATTCTTCTTTTTTGTGTACGCTGTATGTCCGTTTTCATAAGCTGTTTCGTCCACTTTCTTGGATTTAGATTCGACTTAGGGGGGCGCTCTTTTTCTTTGCAAGCATACACGTCATTTGAACCATAGCAACACTGTGTATGTGCGTGTGTGTGTGTGTGTGTGTGTGTATGTGTATGTGTATGTGTGTGTGTATGTGTGTGTGCGTGTGTACGCGTGTGCTTGTGTTTGTCGGTGCATGTTTCACTGTGACCATCTGAAAGTACACATTTATGCATTTCATGTGTGTTTGTTTGTACTGTAGTGTTCAGCACAATATTTGTTCTTACTTCTTTTCTGTTCTGTATAGTTTGTCACAACAAGTTGGGCGGGGGGATGGGGGATGGAAGAAAATTCAACTAAAAGTGAACTCAAGTACATAATATGGGGAAAAGTAAATGCTCTGTCCAAGCGTACTCACTCTTTCACAAGACATACATACAAACGCTCGGTAGCTCGTACACAATAACATCTCACAAAGATGTCTACAGAAAGGAAGGTTTATAAAAACAAAACTATTGGCCTCGGTCAAGCCAGAATCTAATTACCCATTATTTCAGACACCCCACACGCAGATTTATATCTGCCTTTACACTCGGTAGTCTTGGCACGGAATCCTTCGTTCGTCTGAAATCGATATCTCAGACACATTCTCCTGGATACCCTGAGCTTTGAGCCGGCCCAGGCTGCTTGTGGGTTAGACGCACAGACAGAACGATATTAGCGCCCAATTAGAGACACTCCCTCGGTAAACGACTTGGCCATTGTTTCGATTACAAGGAAACCCATCAACGGAACCTTTCTAGGGTCTTCATATGATCTGGTCTCACGCTTTTGATGGCCATTGTTGCGTTTTATACTGGAGAGGTAGTTTTTATAAGTTTACAAGTTACACAGAGCTAATTATTATTATCAGAATAAGTTTTCCAATAACTTGTTGCCTGTGGCATGGTTTGTAACGTTAACCGTTGTAGTAAAAGTACTAAAATCTTAGTAAGATGTTTCAAATGAGCTTCGGCATGACGTAGTGAACGCATTTTCAGTTGGAGCTTTATGAAAATTTGGGTTTAGGAAGACCACATGAATATGAAAAAGAAAAATTTCCAATATACGATCTAGCTAAGGTACACTTGCAAGCATTCACGAGCAAGACTTTCATATAGCGGTGAACTCCAGAACAATAAATTAGTGTAAAAGGAGTCCCAATTCAGCTTTTTAATCTTATATATTATTATGTACCGGGAATAAATATACTTCTCGTAGCCCTGGTCGTTGGGTCACTATTTAAAAAACACTTTTCAACCCTCCCTCGACATCTAAAAAAAGGAAGGGGGCTCTCGTGACCTAGAGGTTAAGGTATTCGCCTCAATTCAAAGGTCCCGGGTTCGAAACCGGGTAGCAATGGGGAAATTTTTCTTTGTCTAAAATTGTCTCCTTTCACCTCTTTTCCTGCTCTGTTGCAATATTCTGTCGTCTGCTTTCGTTTCCACTTTTTGCCCCCACCCTTCACCTCCTTTGCCCCCTCCCCTGGGCTCCTGACTCTTTCTGCAGCCTTTCCACTGCTACTCCTTGGCTCATTATTACTGCTGTCTTTCGGTCACACCCCTGATCTCCTGGTAAGAAAGATCTACACCTAGCCTTCTCGGACAAGGCCGAAAAATCTCGGAGGTCCCGCGTGCAAGTCGCACACGTTAAAGATCCCTTCGTGGTCCAAAATCGACAAGAGTAGGCTTTGGCCGCCACCCGGGCAAAATTCAAAATTTCCTACCAACTGAAACTGCTAGGTTTGTCCCGCGCGCTCATACGACCTTATGCAGTTGCGAGTGCCGTAAAACACTTACCCAAAAAGAAAAGAAAAAAAGAAAGGTAGTATTCAATATTACTAAAAACATGATAGAGCCGGGTGTTAAAGATTTTGAACTTAAGAAGTTATAAAATTGTATGTTTCGATCTCTATGTATCCTTATGAAATATTCCAGAATTGAGCCATTGCTTTCCAATTCCACTTTTGTACCCCCGGGGTTGTATTCTTCACATTTTAGAATACTTCTTGTACGACAATCTCTTTGAAACTCTCAGTATTTCTGAAAAAAATGTTTTGACAGACTGCTATTCAAAGCGCACGAATCGGATTAACGAGTAAATTTCCTCTTTGGAAAGTGGTGGCACAGAGTTCTCCATGTCGTATGGATAAGATAGTAAAACACAACGTACGGATAGGGATAAAATGTGAGCGCGCACTCTTCACTCTTCAGTTTAGTTCGAAGCTGCATGGAAAACAAGGTTCAGGGAAGTGGTCACTGATCTTTGAACAACACACAATAACCTTATCTCGAAAACAGGGCGCAAAACACTGGCGACCTGCAACAATGTGTGGACTATCTCTGTTTGTGATACTGTGCATTATTCATGTATTTACGTATTTTTAGTGTATAGTTTGTGTGTTTATGTACGCCATTGTGAATTAATTTCCCAAGGGGACATTCTGAATTTACAATTTTAATTCTATTTTTATTTAGTAGATATTTCAAAGAAGTGACAGAGAGACTGTTGTCAATAGTGCGCGACTTAGGTGGCGGTTGACAGCAATAAATCTAATTAATGACAATATCAACGCAAAGCACTCTTTTGCCGTGCTGAAGACACGCAGGCTGCTCGTTATAAGGTATACTTTAACGGGTGGCAAGTTTTGAATCATGCAAAGTTATGCACCAGAAGATTTCGGCAGGCTTTGCTTGGTAGTAATTTCTTCCATGATCCTTACAAACTGATAACTAGGTCTACTGGGTGATTACTGGGCAAACAAGATTTACCATATTATTTTGTTCCTTGGTATTTTGCATTTTCAAAGGGGTTTTTTTTTGGTTGGTTGGTTGGGAATTTGTGTGTGTCTGGGGTTTTTCTTTATTTTTGTTGTTATTGTTGTTGTTATTATCGTTGTTTTTGTTTGCTTTTATTTTTAATCTGTGGCATAGTTTCGGTGCAAAACGTCCCTCAATAACAATCCCAAATAAACTCATGTTAATATCGGGAAAAATAATCTCTCTAATGTCATCTCAGAGTCAAGCTCCAGCTTTATACTTAGAACTTGCTTTCGGCTTATATGGGTATTATTTCCAGAAAGGAATGATGAGAAGAGAAATAAGTTCAGTCTGCAGCTTGATTTGGTTGTCATGAATTTTTTCTCAGAGAAGTATGACAAGTTATTTTGAAATGATAAGTAGGCCTACGCTAATGTATTATCCCGTAGTGGTCCAGTAAATAGTTTCACCTCGTTGCGTAAATCACCAAAAGCTACTATTGCTCACAACCACTTTACTCTTAGGTAACTGGGTGAGCCAGAAGATTCAGTTGTTGGATAATCAACTTTTGCCTCATTTTCTTTCTGAATTATGTGTTACAGAAATGATCTGAAGTGGCGTCGCTAACCTAGTGGTTGGTTAGCCTGCCGAACCTGTTATTGTGAGATTGCTGATTCGGTGGTTTGAGCCTCAGTCCTTAGGAAAGGCACTTTACACGAATTTTGTATTTGGCTCGGTCCTTTCGGGGATGGACGTTAAAACTCGAAAGCCCCGTCTGGTAAATAACCTAATAGTTAAAACCCACACCATTTCACATTTTTCAGTGATCGGAGAGGGCATGAGTTCCAGGTCTCACCTTTTGAACAACCACTTACGCTGCTAATAAGGAGGTCAAAACGTGAGCTCAAAACTAAGTTTGTTGCAAATACGTTCATATCAACGGTTCCCTAAGCTTGCTAAATATCCCTGTTCCCTCATCACCCCCCCCCCCCCCAACCGCCCAACTCCAAAACAAAAACAATTACAAGCTAATCATCTTTTATCCCCCGCAGGTTCCGATCTTGTCCCCACTTGGCGTCCGTCGTTAACTCCTCTCAGGACTCCCCGGGCAGCGATATGGCTCCCATCACGGATCACGAGGGGAACATCATCCACACCACTCCCGCCACACAAAACACTCTCCAGGTGGACGGACTCAAACCAGAGCCTGGAGGCGTCCGCTCAGCTGTAGCAACACCGACGCCCCCTTCGACCCCCGGAAGCAGTCGACGTAGGGATCCAATGACGTCATCATTCGCGTCCAGGTCTCAGAGCCAGAGTAACGGCGTGTCCCCGGCGTCCACACCAAAACTTTCCCGGCGTTCTAGAGCGGATACTGGTGGTGGTGCCGGAAGCAATCACATCCCGCGGACCTACTCTGCTGACAGTCATGGGTGTAAGGATGACAGTGACAGCGCTGACGGTGCGGGATTTTTCGCCCTCGGTGGCCAGCCTTTCAAGGACGATAACGTCCTGAAGAGGTTTCAAGATGCCACTTCGCCTAGGGACACCGGTAGCACCAGCCACTTGCCTTTCGGAGACAGCCTGGACCTTCTAGATGCTGACAGGCTGAGTGACACTGATGATGCGTCTTCCATGCATGTGACGAGGAGACAGGCACGCCATCATCACCAGCTGGAGCAACATCACCACTATCAGGACACTAGTGATGACAGCGTGGATAAGTGTAACCGCTGGCTTCAGAGTCTAAAACTGAACAAGTCAGACAAGATCAAATCAAGAAGTCACATTCAACTTCCACCTATATGAGTTACGCTGCGGTACTAATGGCTCCAAGTTTTGCAATTATTGTGCTACAATATACGTATTATGGGTCCAGTGCATAGGTCATCCATTGAAAAAAGGAAACGGGTAAATGGAGATAAATAATGTATTACATGAGTTGCTGTGGTAGATATGATTTATCCTACGGGTGAAATTGCCAAGTTGTATTCATGAGCAATTCCTCAAGTAGGATAAATCATGGTCTACTACCATAACCAGTGTAATAAATGTTTATACCATACTGGTAACAGCGGGCGAAATAGATCCGTACCAACAAAGTTCAAATGAACAGCCAAGTAGACATGAGGATCTATTCAAGAGTCTCACTTAAAAACAAAATGTTCATGACCGTCGGAGTCAGAGTGAGGATTTTAAAGATCTAGATTGCTTTCCTTTATTTTTAGCCACGCTCATTTACATGTTGTGCTATCCGTATGTCTCTCTCCGCGAAATAAACCCCAAACGAAACAATAATAACGCAAGCATAGGCAAAGCAAGCAGAAAACGTAAGATTCCAAGTTAAAAAATTAAGAAACTGCGTTTATATGACATGTTGTTGTGGGAATAGAGATTACTTTGATTTTAAACTTTGCAATCAAAACAAACCAAAGGCTAGGAGTTATTTGCTAGCATAGACGTGTGCAGTGCACAAAATACATCAAATGCACTCTGACGTAATCCCGGTTCTCTATACTGCGCACCATTTGACTCAGTTTGGATCAAATTTAAGGGAAACGTAGAGAGTTGTGCCTACTCTCTACTACTATAGGGACGGTGGGATACTGGGGTTTGGCACTTCATTTTTTACAGGGGGAAAGAGCGGCTACCGTGACAAAGCACGATCTAGGAATATTATGATTCAAGTCTATACTTTGCTTATAGCTACAGTGGGATAGAAGGCGGATATAGTGCCCGGAATAATATTAATATATGCATTTTTTTAAAAACTTCACGTGTGAGAGATATCAGCTTAGCCTATATATCACGTAAGGGTTTATTTCACCGTAATAGCAATGCTAAAAAAATTATTTATAAAAAAAATGTATTCCCTTCGAGTCTGACTTTGAGAGGACAAAACTACAGTAGCCTCCGTTTTGTCTTTCCAAGCAATAATTTTTCGAAGTTGTAACGTCATATCTAACGGCACTATTTATCCCATTGTAGAAGTGGCTAGAGCGCTCCTTTAGCTCAGTTAGTATTTTGCTGGACTGTAGAGCGGGTGGTCCTGGCACGAACCCCTGACTGGGCGTTCTTGATCTTGGCTCGTTTTGTGAAATTTTAAGGCTCTAAACTCATTTGGCACGGTCGTATTCCTATCGGAGATGGATGTTGAAATGTCTTTTAAATAACCAAATGGTGTTGAAAGGGTTTTTTAATCTGTACGCTTTTTAGAGGTGGCTAAAAATAAGTGTACTTACTCTAAACTCTCTCTCTCTAACAATATTTAGAGACTGAAGTACACGCAAAAAACATGTTCACAGTCTGATTCATGTGGACAAGCTCAAAACATGAAGAAGTTTTATTTCACGATTTTTAAGAAACTGTTGCTCATGTTCCAAGTCGGATGTTAGCGTTCTCATTGTATACTCCCATTACAAAATCTAGTAATGATACTGACGTCTGATCTATTGGATTCCGTTGATAGCAAAAACATCTGCCGTTTAACTCTTTTGGATCTGTCCGCAGCTTTTGACACAATTGACCATGCTATTCTACACACAAGACTTGAGCGCTCATTTGGCTTATCGGGTACTGTGCTTTCATGGTTTAAGTTATATTTACTAGAAAGAGTTCAGTCAGTGCAAATTAAAAATAGCTTTTCAAAGCAGGTCAGGCTCGATTATAGAGATCCACAGGGGTCCGTTCTTGGACCAGTGCTATTTACACTATATACACAGCCCTAGCAAGCATTTTACAAAATCATGGATTGAATTATCATTTTTATGCCGATGATTCCCAAATGTATGTTAATGGCACCATTCAAGATCTGCCAAACATGATTTCTATCACTAAACAATGAAATTAAACAGCGGATGACAGTAAACAAATTGAAACTAAACGAAGAAAAGACAGACATCATTCTTATAAAAAATCCACAATTAAATAAAGGTTTGGAAAGTGTCAACTTTGATTTATATGGGCATATAACATCTAGTAAAGAAGATGTCAGGAATCTCGGTGTATGTATTGACCACCACTTATCAATGGGCTCGTTTGTAGGATCTCTGTCCAAATCCCTTTATTTTCAGCTGAGAAGGTTAGGCCTAGTTCGAAAGTACTTTTAAACGAAGAGACCACAAAAACACTGGTAACATCTCTTATCCTATCTAGATTGGACTATTGTAACTCACTCCTAACAGGTCTGAACAACAAATATTTGAATCGTTTACAAGTGATTCAAAACTATGCCGCTAGACTGATAACAAGATCTAAAAAACGGGACCATGTCACTACATTATCAAAAGAACTACATTGGCTCCCTGTAAAAGAAAGAATAATACTTAAAATCTTCGTCAAGTGTTTCAGATGTGTAAATAAAACTGCTCCTTTTTATCTACAAGAACTGATCAGTATATATAAGCCAGGGAGAAACATAAGATCATCAAACGATAACACCCTACTTGTGACACCTGTAAAATCATACAAATCATCTGGAGAGAGATCTTTCTCATATCTTGGTCCATTTATGTGGAACAGATTACCCATAAAACTAAGACAAATAAAAACACTTGATAGCTCCAAAAGACGTCTTAAACATTTTCTGTTCCTACAGGCCTATCCTTCATAAGCTTTTATCGTTATGTTTCATTATAGTTGTTCTGTTCCTATGTCTGGATGAAAATAGTCTCTGTGTGTGTGTGTGTGTGTGTGTGTGTGTGTGTGTGTGTGTGTGTGTGTGCGTGTGTGTGTGCATTGGATTAATGTATATTGCATGAAAAGAAAGGAAGTAGTAAGAAAGAAATTATGTATATTGCATGAAAAGAAAGGAAGTAGTAAGAAAGAAATTATTATTATTATTATTATTATTATTATTATTATTATTATTATTATTATTATTATTATTATTATTATCATTATTCAACTTAAATTCATGATTCATGAAGTTAATAGACAAAGAAAAACATGTTGCTCATTTGTCACCGGTGGAGTTCCATTTATATTGTGTTGTACAAAGACAAATTAAAACATTTTAAGTGGTAAATTTTAGAACAAAGTGGTTTTCCCTGGCAAAAGTTAGTAGGAAACAATCGTTTTATTTTTCAGATTGACAGCCTAAAAAATTATATTATCACGCATTCCTATCATTCCTTGACCAATTGATTTGTACTGTTCAGGATTATTATAAACGCAATTCCCAATCATTTTGTTTGAACATGGTTCAGTTTCTAGCGTAGACTTTTGTGGTGAATTTTTATTTTGTGTACTTGATTATTAGCTGCCCCCATCGACATAATTTCGGTCATTACAGAGGCGGGCTGTTTCGACCATGTCTGTCAAGGCCTATTTGGGCTGAGAGAGATGCAATGTCCTAGCACACGGATAGAGATAGCACCTACTAGATAAAACAACATTGTCTCAAATGGGAATCAAACTCGCGTCGTCTGCGTGCTTTGACGAAGCGCCTTACCCTACACTACAGACACAGGTGGAGTGAAAGGGTGGCCATTTATTTTTGTACTGGTAATATCTGAAATCATGCCAATCCGGAGAAATAAATGGTGTGAAGGGAAAAAGGATTTGAGGTATCTCGTGAGTGTCATTTGATTTGTTGGCATAATTAATATAAAAATATACCTCGTACATCATGATTCGTTGTCTGGATGAGAGGAGATCGATGCTCGAGATATGTGCTAGCTATTTACGTTATCTTCTTTACTTAATTTCTTTTTTGTTTTGTTTTTGTTTTGTTTTGGCAAACTAACTGACTGTACAGCCCGAAGCTCACGAAGTCGTACAAGACTTCCAAAAGTTACATTCAATAGCTGTAAATAACAATTTCACCACCTTAGTCAAGGGTTTATTTTAAAGCTCTACTACTAGACGCATTGGTAGAGTTTTGGATTTGTCTTGATTTAACACTCCATCCAATATTACAAAAATATGTAAAAGACGAGATTTCCAAGTTTAACCCATCTCCTGGAGGACCTAACCAACTACGTAGTGAACTTTGAAAACTCCCCCAAACAACTAAGTTTAAGAAAACCTCACTTGGGATTCAAACCACGCCCATTCCCTTGACAGCCGAGCATGATACACGGTGAGCTAACGGCTCGGCCTGAAACTCCTGACTTACGATGTTTTCAAACAAAGGACTCAGTCGTATCCCCAACACTCTGTTCTCTGCTCGGTATCTTCTTGTTTGCGTAATCAGGTTTAAAAGTACGAGATTCTGTCGTGTACCAATAAGGCGTTCCGCTTTTGTACGCAGAGGACATAGGTTCGATTCCGTTTGGGGATAACTTCTGCCAAGTACTTCTGTCGTTCTTCTGAGACATTGTATCCCTCTCATTCTGGGTTGGCTCCGATAGGCAGGCTCGAAACCCGCCTCGTGAAAGGTCTATTTTGTGTTGAAGTGTTGTTGGGTTTTTTTTAATTATTATTTACTGGTTTTAAGGGTTAGATACTGAGCATGAAACAGTCATCTTGACTCCAAACAACACACTTCAGAAAGAGGATCATGATTTGATTTGAACATACAATGAGTTGAGACGGTTGGGGTTAAAGCTCTTAAGCTGATTAGGGATGGGAAAGAGAGCTGTTTATCTTTTTGTTTTACCCTAATTCTAGTACCAGTTTTAGACGGAAGAGTCTCTTAAGGGTGAAGAGAACGATAGAAGCTGTAAACTAAGGAAAACAAGAAAGAAGGAAAATGTATATTATATCGTCGGAACCCAGTATGGAGCATTAACTTTGCAATGCATGGCTACTATGTGATAAACGACAAACGCCCCATTCAAAACATGCGAGATCTCCGATTGAACTGAGCCAGCTGACAGAGACTGGAGAAATTCAGTCTTTCAACCATAGCCCAAGAAATCCCGCCCCCGCCCCCTCCCTTTGGGGATTCGAACCACAGTAACTCACTCGACAGCCAGCGCAAACGGCGAGCTGTTGAGGAGGCGTGGGTGTGCGAATGCATAGTAGGAGAAAGGGTGGGGGAGGTAGAGTGTGTGTGAGTGTGTGTGTGTGTGTGTGTGTGTGTGTGAG